AAAGGAGAGAGTTCCCATATTTGCCCTCTCTCCCCTTGCACCATTCTCCCTATGATTAATAAGCAACTTTTAACTAAACACCTACTCTCTATCAGGCCCTTTACACACAATCTCACCGCATCCTCACCAGCTGTGGGAGGTATTTTCACACAAGCTCGTTTTCCAGAGGCTGAGAAGGAGCCTCAGGAAGGTTAAACGATGGGCCACAGTGACTCAGTGACTGGAAGAGGTGGCCTGTGACCCTGGGTCTGCTGATACTTTGTGCTGTGCCAACAGGCCTCCTGTGGGCTGGTTTTGATTATCATGTGCTTCACGGTCACTTACAAAAATGCTAGCTTAAATAACCCAAAGCTCCTAATAATCTCACTGTTAACTAGTCTTAAGAGTTACAAATGAACTTAGAGGAGTTTTTTTTTTGAGGTGAGTTAACAGAAAGTCATCCTTATTGTTAGAAAGCTCTCAATGTTAGAAACTTCTTTCTGGTCTTGGTCCGAAGCATTTTTCCTGTTGGTTTCATGTATGTTCTTTGTACCCACGTTCATCAAGAAACCAGTCAATTCAGGAGATAATCAGCCAAATTAGTTTTGTGCCTAGATTGATACTTAAATGCTTGAGGGAAGAAAGAGGGCCAAGGCCTCATAGTCCCAGAGAGAGAAGTGGGTTTGTTTTTTTCTTTTTTTGGTGAGGAAGATTGGCCCTGAGCAAATATCTGTTGCTAATCTTCCTCTTTTTTGCTTGAGAAAGATTGTCGCTGAGCTAACATCTGTCATCTGTGCCAATCTTCCTCTATTTTGTATGTGGGACACCACCACAGCATGGCTTGATGAGCAATGTATAGGTCTGTGCCCAGGATCCAAACTGGCAAGCCCTGGGCCAACGAAGCAAAGCGTGCGAACTTAACCACTATGCCACCGGGCTGGCCTTGGAGAAATGTTTCTTCAATCATGCATTATGGTTCATTTTTCTTAGAACAGTGTAAGAAAAAATGTAAACACTTTTCTTTTTATCAAGATAGAAAATGAAAGCCAAGAGAAGTTGAATGAAGTGTTTAGCTTCCCAGGGTTTGAAGCAAGACTGTGGCTTGCATGCACCAATAGGCAGGACCATGGACAGACACAAAGCACCTGGTTGTGGCCCCCAGCCTCCCAGAGGGATGCACCCACTCAGACACCCAAACGGTCAGACTTGGTTGGCCCTGTCAGTTTCAGGTGTGTAATCACCACAAAGGCTCTGCCCCAAGGTCCCATGGGCGCTCAGTCCCACCCCTCCCACCCCCACTACCAGTGAGACATCCTCTAGAGCCTGGATTCAGTTCCGGCCAAATGGCGATGGCAGAGGTTGGATTCCCATGGTCCAGGGCTCTTCTTGAGCCAGAGGAGAGAGAAGCCCGAGTTCACTGTGAAATCCCAAGGCCTAGACTGGGGAAACTGAGTCAGTACTGAGCCTGGAGGGCCACAGGCTTGGCATGAACTGGATATGAGAGGCCCTGGTGGGAGTGGGTCAGGATTCTTTGGGGCAGGGGCCCATTGTTCCTGGGCCATGATTGTTTCCTGTGGCTTTTTTGTCGCAGATATCTGATGGACTGGTGGTTTTTGCTGTCTTAATAGTAGACAGTAGGGTCTAATTAGCATATTTCAGCAATAAAATATTCAGAGGAACAGAAATTTGTCCATTCATTCACTCATTCCTCACTCAGCAAACATTCGCAGTGCTTACTGTGGTCCAGGGTCTGTGACTGGTCCTGAGAAAGCAAAAATAAAGAGTTGAAGACTCTGCTTGGAGAAGCCCACACTTAGCAAAGGATATTGGTAGGACGATAAATTACAAAAACAAATAAGCCCCCAGGTCAGTCAGGAGGTATGAGGAAGCGTAGGGGAGGCAAGTTCTTACCTTCCAGAGCGTGTGGGGCTGGAGCTGTGCTGTGTCTGTCACAGCTGTAGTAAGATAGTGACCCGGAAGTCCAGGGAAAGATTGCTCACCATGCACACACAGCACACGACAGGGGCTGCACGTAAAATATTGTGGTGTGCAGCTGCTGCTGACACTGTGATCAGATTAGGTCAACAGAAGCTGTTTTAAGAGCCTGGAAAGGCATCAGTCATAGCCTTTATTGTTGTCTACATCTTCCAGCTAATATTTGCCCAGCTTGGGGGCATGAAGTATCAAACAGCTACAAAATGAACACAAGATTCTCTTGGCTTTGCACCAAGGGCCTTCTAGAAAGGTCTTTGTGGGAAATAATTGGCAAATAAATGACAGAATGATTTGAAAATAATAGCCAGGTCCTATCTTAGAATTTGGGAATATTTCTTTTGGTGGCAACTTGGTATATATCTGTCTCCTGTTTGTTTTTTTATGAGGCATCCTATTTTGGCCATCGAAATCTTTCATTCCCATTAGGAGTGAGCAGCTGATACTCCGACAACCCAAGCAACTTTCCTAATTTTGCATAGCTCCTCTGTTTGAGCTGCCCCTCAGTAGGGCAAATAGAGGTTGCTCTAGTATTTACTTTAAAAAGCATTTTTAACCGTCACTCACGAGATACAAACCACAAAGGAAGAGATCATGTGATTTGACTACCTAAAAATGGAAATTCTTATAGGTCAGAATAAAATTATAAGCAAAATTAGGTCAAATAAAAATAAAGAAAATGTCTGCAAAATACATCACAGACATAAGGATGAGCGTACTACATTGGAGCTTTTGCAATTAGATAAAAATAGTGGAAAAGAATGCAGTGAACAAGCAGTTCATAAAAGAAGAAAGCCAAGTGGCAAAGAAGCATGAGAAAACTGTTGAACCTCATTAACCAAAGTAAAACGGAGTCATTAATGCCTATCAGCCCGGCAAAGCTCAAAATGGATGCACAGACTCAGTGTGGGTGGTCGAATGGCACAAGCAGCATCCTTATGCACCCCCGAGGGGAGAGCACTTTGGTAAGAAAAAGTTCTGGGGAGAAATTTGGCCATATAATTTAAAAATACTAAAAATATGTATCTCCATAAGAATTTATTCTAAAGAAATTATAAGATAAATGCTCTTCCGTCTAGAAATTTTTAATGCAAAATGAAATGTGCAAAAATGTAAATATAAGGTTGTACATCTGAGTGTTTTCTAGAAAAGCTAATAACTAACATTTATTGAATGCTTACTTTGTGCCACGGTTCTAAGCTGTTCCCAGGTACTTATCTAACCATCACAGAAAATTCTCTGAGGGAGTACTGTTATTGTCATGATTTTTGTTTTCAGTTGAGGTTTACTGCGGTGGGAATGTATACCAGGTCATACAGCTAATAAATACCCGAATCAGAGGCTTTTGCTTTCCATCCTGAAGTATGGCCACTAGGCTATACCAGCCCTTCCCACGAACGCAGGCAAAGGTTGGAAATGATCCAAATGTTCAACAGTAGCAGTGCCCACTGTGGGGATAGCACATTCAAGTTGTGACATACTATGCAGTTGTGAGAAATCACGTGATAGAAAAGTCTTTATCAATGCGGGAAATAGGCTCGTAATTGCTTTGTGAAAACAGTAAGCTAGCAAGAAGGTCTGCAATTTGATACAATTTTGTTTGAATTTGAATCATGTCAATTTGAAATACTTCAATTTGAGCTAAAAACAGTTTCACTCTATGTGCAGTGTTTGACATAAGCAGAGTCATTCCAAATGAAAAATTAATTTAGAAGCCTGCAGGCCCAGGGAATTATAAACCAGAAGTTATACATATAAGGCTTTGTGGTTTTGCACTAACAGATTTGGGAAGTCTGGTTGTGATATTTTGGATGATAAGCAGGACCTTCCGCGGCTCTCAGCTTATGAAATACTGTGGTGCAATGGAACGCCAGGCAATCACTCTGGTTTTTCTCATGCTGTTATTTTAGCATTCACTGTTGTTGTAATCTAGAAGCTTCTCTTATACCCACTTGCTGTCACTCGTGCATTCATTAGATGAAAAACGTATTTTCAAACAGTAACATTGAAATGGTGGTTTGATCTAATAACTGGCCTTAAAGAAGCCTGGAAACTTCCATAGGATACTTGCCATGCTGTTCATGTAGCAGAGAATACTCTGAACAAAGAACAATGGCGAGAATGCTGAGGAAAGGAAAGGCATCGTCTAACAGATTCCCCTTTGAGGAAGACTGCCTCCTTGACCAAACTGCAGTCAGCTCCTCTGAGCCCTCCCCCTGAGAGCTCCCCACTTGGCGTGCCAAGCCCCGTTTTAGCCAAGAATCCTGCTAAGCCAGTTTACTGAGGATGGCTTTACCCTGACAGCCAATCTAGCTCTTTGTCCTCCACCCTGGATAACTAATGAAGTTGCTCTTAGTAATTTTCCATGGGCTCCCTCAGCCTGCTTGTTGGCTATAAAAGCTCACTTGCCCCTGTTGTATGGGGAATTAAATCCAGCCTCCCGCCTCTACTGCAATAGTCTTGAACAAAATCTGTCTTGTCGTGCTTAACAGGTGTCTGATGCTGAGGGGGGTTATGCTGCCCCAGGCTCTGGGCTGAGTGCCTTATGCATGTTGTGTGATAATGCCTGCATACCTTCCTGAGAGATCAGCGTTATTATCCTCTTTGCTCAGATAAAGAGAGAGGCTCTGAGGGTTAAAAATCACTTGTCTCTGTCCAACAGCTACTAAGGGGCAAGGCAGGACTTGGACCCATGTTCGTCATTAAAGTTGAGATGGACTATGAAAATAAATGTGTGTTTCTAGTCCATTTTACTGACACAGACAATGAAAAAAACGAAATGTGGCAGTCTTCAGTTGAATAGCTGGCAAATACTAGAATAAGCATTTTCCTGCCATCTCCAAATACAGTGTCACTTCCACCCAGTCCAGACATGGAAGGAAAGTGCTCCTGACTTGGGAACTGGTGGTCGCCAGGGTATTTGGGTCACTGCCCAGGTGGCCCCAGCAGTCAGCTTGCTCAGAACTGCCTCACTCCAGTTTTAAATGGTCTCATGTTTGCCAATTGGTTTCTTTTCTCTCTCTGCGCAGTTTTCACCTCCAACAAAGCCCAGTCACCATGGATGCAAGCGAATTCCGAAGGAGAGGGAAAGAAATGGTGGATTACGTGGCTGACTACATGGAAGGCATCGAGGGACGCCAGGTCTACCCCGATGTGGAGCCTGGCTACCTTCGCCCCCTAATCCCCACCACCGCCCCCCAGGAGCCAGACACATTTGAGGACATCATTAATGATGTCGAGAAGATAATCATGCCAGGGGTAAGTCTATATCCAAGATCAGAGAACAGGAGGGTTAGCATTAATGTAGCACCTGTTGGGCATCAGGCAATTCATATCTATTATTTTATCTAATCCTTCCAACCATCTTGTTGGAGAGAAACTTTATCATTTCTATTTTATGGCTGAGGCAACTGAGGCCCAGAGAGGTGAGGTGATCAACCTAAGGTCACACTGCTAGTAAGTGATGGAGCCAGGACTGCAACCCATATGGTGTGGGCGCCAAAGGCAGTGAGTGCACTTTCCCCACAGCCCCCAGATCAGTCCCCTGCCCTAAGACCCTGATGCATGAGAGTCATATCCGACCATTGGAGGAAACCAACCACTGGTGGCTGGTTTCAAGGATGTTAATTGCTCAAAATAAAGCATATTCCTAACCATCTTCTGTTTAGCAGAGAGTAAATCCCACGTGTGGAAGAAATGTTTTATTAATTTTATTTGAGAATGGGCGACGTGGTACTGCTTCTGTCCAGAGGCTGACCGCCGAAGCAGCCTCTTTATGGGAAGCCAGTGAGTCATAGCTTGGCCTGTGGTTCCCAGAGGGGCTCAGACAGGAAGGGAGAGGACCAGGACCGGTTGTCACCCCAGAAAGTCTCTCAGAGGGGAGCAGGCAGTTCACATTCAAAGGAAACTCACTACAGCTTTACGTTTCCCCAAGATTTTCCCTGACAAAGAATTCACCTAAAAGCCCATGTGTTAATGTGGGAGGAGGATCTCGGATCCTCAAGTCCATTCCCTCATTTTCAGATGGGACACAGAGGCCCTGAGCCCCCCTTACCTGTGAGCAGGTCACAGAGCCACTGACCCCAGAGCGGGGCTGGGCCTCAGGCCCTCGGAACTCAAGGATCCGTTCCTCAAGACCAGAGGCCTGCTGCCGTTTCTCCCTCCCTGGAGAGTTTCCTTTGACATTTGTACTTTGAGCGAAGTGGAGGATTCCAGTTCTCGCCTAGAGGTTGTGCAAATACAACAAGCCGCTGAGCATCCAACCTCTCCAGGGGCAGGTGTGGTTAAATGTCAGGCAGAGGGTGTGTCCTACTCTGTTCGGGCAGCCTTACAAAATACCACAGGCAGGGCGGCTTAGACAACAAACAGTTCTCACGGTTCTGAGCCTGGCTATCTGAGGTCCAGGTGCAGACTGATTCGGTTCCTGGTGAGGGTTCTCATCCTGGCTTGCAGAAGGCCGGCTCCTCCCTGTGTCCCCACATGGCCTTTCCTCCCTGCAGAGGCCCTACCTTCACCATCTAACCTGGCCCTAATTATCTCCCAAAGGCCTCACCTCCAATACCATCACTTTGGGGACTGGGGCTTCAACATAGGAATTTGGGGGGCCACACGCATGCAGTCCAGAACAGGGGGACTACAGAAGACTGGAATTTGAAATCTTTCTGCTCAGATAGACGGGGCACTCCCTGCGCAGAGCTGTGCTAGGAAGCACACGGGCTTTGGGGCAGGGTCCCTGGGGGGGAGTCGAACCGGCCACTTGCCAGCTGTGGGATTGCAGGGAAGGTAGAAGAGCTCTCTGGGCCTCATCTGCAGAGGGAGCGTAGGAACATCCGTCCAGGGTGTTGTGTGAGTCGTAGCTGAGAGTGAGGCAAAGGCACATGTGTCCCTAGTCAAGAATTGCTCTTGTCCTTTCGCAGGTCTTAGGGCAGGTGGGGAGGAGACACAGTGAGGGCCTCCAGGTTCCTGAATGGGGAGGATGGCCCAGGGCCACATCATTACTCCCGTGGACCCCTTAGAAATACGGAAAATTATGGTTTATGAATGCATTGGCATAAAGGTGAATATATTAATATTATAAAAACCTTTTTTTTCCTTTAACCTGAAAGCTCATGTTTTCTTCTGATTAAAAAAAAAATTTAAGTTTTCCAGGCTCCTGAAAGTATTTTGTGCCCTGGCCACTGGGTCTGCTGCTCCTCACGGCCCGCAGCCTCGCCACCAGCCTCTCTGCCTGAGCCCGCGGGCTCTGACTGAGCTGAGCATCTCCCTCTGTCCAGACGGTTCCCTGGCCCTGCACAGGCCTGCAGCCTCACCGGCCCTGTCCCTCTGAGACGCCCGTTGCTGCTGGCACCGCCCCCTCACGTAGGATGAATAGCTTTGTCCTCTTGTCCTGCCCTCACCCTGCAGATGCGGGGTGGCTGTGTTGAGTGAGATCGGGGCTCAAGTCCCCACAACCACGTAAATCCTGCCAAGTACTCTCAGTTCTTGGAGGGTTCCTGGGTGGCTGCCTTCACGATCTGGGCATCTCTCACCCCAGGTCATGACAGTGGACAGTTGAGAGCTAGTGTTATCCAGGAAGAAATGTTTACTTTTCTCCCCAGACTGAAAATGAGTAGTGTTGGGAGAACTTGTCTACAGCCTTTGGGGATTCTGGAGAAGGTTAGAGGAGGAAGAAACACTCGGGTGCATGTTTTGGTTTAGCGTGAGAGGAGGTTGGAGTTCTGAGAGTTGCAATCAGTTGCCTAAGGTAACCCAGAAAACCGAATGGCTGCCAGACTGGCAGTCAGGAGAGCTCCCAGCATGCGTGCGGTTGCTGTGCGCTGGATGAAGAGTGCGGAGGTGCGGGAAGACGGGGAGCTGGGTGGTGTCTCCTGCACACCGGTTAAGGCATTACAACTCTGACTGGAGACTGAATGACCATCACACAGAGGGCTGGGAGGGAAGGGTGGGGTCTTAAGGGCTTTACTCTGTTCTCGCATGACAGGTGTGTCATCAACAAGAACAAATTAAAGAAGCAAAACTGGGCCCCACCCTCATTTTCTCTCCTCCTCTATCTTCTTCCAACACTCTGAGATGTTCCCAGCCCATCCTACACGACCACTCCTAGTCTTCCCACCCTAGCTGGGCTTGCAGAGCTCCTGCCCCAGGAACAGAGGTGTCATTGATCATCCTCTCCTCCTCCTCCTGACGCCTGGGGTGGTCTCGCCGCTGCCTCAGCCTCAGGCACCCTGGCTGCACTGGGGGACAGCAGAGACATGGGGTCTGGGGGATGACAGAGCCATGCTTGGCTGGAGGGCATGGATGGTATAGGAGAGTGAGGAAGAGGCTGCAGTAAGAGCAGCTGGAGAAACCTAGTAAATCAGGCCTTTTTTCTAATACAGACTTTATGTTTTTGGAGCAGATTTAGGAAAACCAGTCTCCTAATGCATTAGGGCCCTCAGGTGCAGCTCCTTCACTGACAAGCACACCTGGCCAGGATTTAAAACACAGTGTTGTTTTGAGAGACTGCATTTGCTGTGGCAAACTGAGGCACCTCCGCTCATGGGGCTGCCTTGCCTTGCACTCGAGTCACCACTCTATCCCCAACAGGTAACCCATTGGCACAGCCCCTACTTCTTTGCCTACTTCCCCACAGCCAGCTCGTATCCATCCATGCTCGCGGACATGCTGTGCGGGGCCATCGGCTGCATTGGCTTCTCCTGGGTGAGTGTTGGGGTGATCCTGTGGGGGTTCTTGGCAGTGTTGGGGGGTCTTGCCACGAGGACATGACATCTGTACTCATAGGATATGAGCAGGTGACAGTGCCACCTATGTGAGGGGAGAAGGATTCAGCCCTAGAGAGTCCTCATAAAGGAATAGAAATTTGGAATACAGGGAACAGGGAGAGAGAGACCTTTCTGGAAAGGTTTCCACAACCCAAAGCCAATTCTGCACAGCAGTGCTTTTTCAGAGGTATTTGGTATGAATTAAAATTACACTCGAGGCCCTAGAATTTCTATAGCCCATGCACAGGAGTCTGCATTTCTACCAAGCAGCCCTGAGGATTTCTGTATAATGTGCAGTTTGAGAAACACAGCTGCCCTTGTCCCTTCCCATCTGTTCTCAGCCAGGGCTGCTGTCCTGCGAGAGGCCCCAGCCCATCAGAAATGCCAAGTGATGCAGAGCAGGCATTCTGGAAATGGGGCCAGCTCCTGTGACCACACCACCAGCCTAGTCCCACCTTATCTGGGGTAAAATGCCTAGAAAGATCCCTGCTCAGAAGGGCAGGCTGGGCTGGCTCTTCCTTGTGGCTCTCTGCTCCCATCTCAGGGCTACAGCAAAGATTCCCACCTTCCCAAACACAGAGTGCTCAGAAGCAGAGCTGCTGCTGACTGTGGCAGGGACCCGGGGCTGCCTATACCGTGGGGACTTCTTCAAATGCCAGGGTCTGACCCACAGTGTGTACCTGCTTGTGCCTTGGGGCCGAGTGGACTCATGGGTGTTGACTCCTGCTGAGTACAGGCCTGGGGCACGTAAAGGCGATTTCGGGTCATGAACGCGCCATGCTGAGCAGCAGGACCCAGCGGAGCTGACCACTGTCCCTTGCACCATCCCTCCTCCTCGCTCTTGCTTAGCAGCCCCGAGGGGGAGGGTTGGAGGAGTCCTTCCTGGGTCCCTGCTGCAGACGCCTTAGCTGCTCCTCTGTCAGGTGCCCCAAGGCCTCCCTCTCCACTGGGAGACAGATGGGCATGGCCAGTGTGGCTTCAGTGACCTCCCTTTGTCTCTGCTGAGTACACCCCTCCCCTCTAAAGGACATTTTCTTTCATTAGATACTACAGCAGATTTCATTTCACTCTGCCAGTCCAGAGCCATCCTGTCCCTTCAGGGTGACTTGGCATCCATCCAATTGTGTCTGCTCTTTCTGAGCACTGTCTGATATCTCTGGGGCTTTGGAGAGCTGCCTCTCGGTCTCTAGGCTGTACTGGCTGAGACCTGGGCTCCTAATAGTGAGTACAGGTCCCTATGCCTGGAGCTGGGCTTAGCTGGGATGGTAGGCCCCTCTGGGTGGGGCTGATTAGCAGGAGAAAGTGCTGCTTGTTCTTACCAGAAGAGCAGCATGAGCTGGTGTGCACGTGGAGGCAGAGAGCACCCCTGAGCACAACAATGAGCCCCCCAGGGAGGTGGAGGCTCAATCCATCTTCAGGTGGGACCCACGGCCAACCTACCTCCCCCTCTCAGTGTGCAATGAGAGGGGAGAGTATGCAGAGTGCCATCTCGAGAGCCTAGAAGGCAAGGTCTGTGAGCTGCCGAGGGCTCCTAGAGGGTTCAGGCGGCCCAGAGCCCACCTCCTCGACTCAGGATAGTCTCATTCCACTGACTTGTGACTATGGAGGAGGGTCCTCCAGTGAGCCTTTCTAGATCCTTCTGTAAATAAACAGGTGGCTAAATGAGCCAGCGCACAGTGCCAGTGTGGCGCAGCACGGTAGAGTAAGGGTGTTACTGTGGGCTATGCCTTCCTTCCCAACCATTCTCCCTTGACTCTTGGTCAAGGGGCATAAGTGTGAAACTTGTTTCAGGCATTTGAATAGCGCCTGAGATTGGGCAGTTTTAACCGGGGGTTCAGTGGGAGATTAAACTCTGTTGCTGCTCCCAAAATTCTGCAAGAACTAGCTCCTTTCTCTGGCACCAGGCCCCAGAGAATTGGAATGAAAAAGGGTAAGGGGAAGAGGGTGACATCCCCAGGGATCCAAGTCTGCAGGTGGAGGACACAAGGTCACCAGCAGAGATGTGGGAACCAGTAGAGCTTTGTACACAGAGAGCATATCACGTCCTGTGGCCGATCTGGGATCTGCGGAGTATGGTTCCCTCTGTTCTCCAAGTGTGGGAAAGAAGAGGAATCTCCTGTGTGCCAAGCTGTCAGCACCAGTCTGCCCTGAGAGGCCCTCAGGGATGTCTTAGAGCTGCTGGGAGGGAGGGGCCTGCTGCCGTGGACCCAGTCTCTGCCACTGCTTCTCCCTGGAACTCTGCGATGGAAAAGCAGACAATCACATGTAATTCTGCCCAAGGATGGGGCTTTTGAAAATGTTTAAAACCTTTTGTTAAATTGATAAAATCTAAGTGACGGGAAGTAACAAAGTTATTCTCTTTGTCTTACCCCTTTGTCGCAAGCTGGTAGGAAGCTGAAGGCAGCTGCCCTGTGCTTAACTCCTTTCTCCCTCCCACGGCAGGCTGCGAGCCCGGCGTGCACAGAGCTGGAGACTGTGATGATGGACTGGCTTGGGAAGATGCTTCAGCTGCCAGAGGCATTTTTGGCTGGGAACGCTGGAGAAGGAGGTGGAGTGATCCAGGTGAGGCAGGGAGGGGCGGAGAGTCCAGCTTTCTGGGATGCATGGCTTTCACAAAGGGACCACAGCTGTAGGTGGACAAAAGAGACACTTGTGCTTCTTGTTGCATCCTCACCTTTCTCCTGGAAAACAAGCAGAGATGAGTTATTATGAGAACTCGGGATGTGGATTTGGATCCCGGTGCCACCTCTCACTCACTCTGTGGTAGATAGAAGAGTGGTTATTACTCAGCAAGCGTGTAGTAATAAAAACAACAACTACATTTTTGTTGTGTTCCCCATTGCCAGCCACCATGCCCAAGCACTTTCCAGGCTTTAACTCATTTAATTCTCTCAACAACACTCAATTAAAATACTCCCATTTTACAGGTGAGAAAACTGAGGCACAGAGCAGTCAGGTAACTTGCCCATGGGTTCCCAGCTGGTAAGTTCTAGAGCTGGGGTCTGAGCCCACATCTTTCTGACTGCAGAGCCATGATCTTCACCACCAGTCAGGGCCATCCTCAGGCAGTAGTGGCAGCTGTGACCATGTGCTTTGATGGCTTCTAGAAAGTTCTATATCTAGGGGAACCAACAGTTCGCCTAAAGATGCTGCCTCTTCTGTGTACCAATTTAATTAATTCTCTTCATTTGACATGTACTGTTGACAGTAACCATCAGGAGACATGACAGATACAAATGACGATCATGATGGAACATTTGTTCCACCAGAGTCTGCAGGACAAACTCCACTAGGAAGACAGGTTTTATGCTGGTTTTTGTTCCTAGCATGGAAGATGGACTCTGTTGAACCCACCACCCTCCCTGACATCATTTTTCTCGTGTCAAGTATATGATAATAACATTTGGAAAGCACTGTTAACTTTGGGGGGGAAAAAGGGATTTCCTTTTTCAGATATCAAACTTTCAAATGCTCTGAGAATTTGTTAAGGCAGCTATTATTCTGCCCATCTGACAGATGAGAACACTGAGGCATAGATGCCTTTGTATGCAATCACCCGGCTGGTGGGTGGGGCAAAACTAAACTAGGAAGCCAGCTCCCACTTTCCAGTGTTGAGACTACTCATACAGAGGGGGTTTTAAACTCCCACGTGTCAGTTTTCTGTTGCTGTTGTACCAAATTTTGTGGCTTAAAACAACACGAACCTATCATCTTACAGTTCTGTAGGTCAGGAATCTGACATGGGTCTTACTGGGCTAAAATCAAGGTTGACATTTCAAAGGCTCCAGGAAAGAGACTCTTCCCTTGCCTTTTCTAGTTTCTAGATGCTTCCTACATTCCTTCGCCATGGTCCTCTCCTCCAACTTCAAAGCCAGCAGTGTTCATCATTCTGACCCTTCTTTCCTGGTCGCATCTCCCCCTGACCACAGATGAGAAAGGTTCTCCACTTGTAAGGCCTCATGTGATTAGATTGGGTCCATCTGGATAACCCCAAATAATCCCTCGTGTCAAGTTCAAAGTTCTTAACTTAATCATATCACATCAGCAAGTCCTTTTTTCCATGTAAGGTAAATATTCACAGGTTCCAAGATTAAGACCTGGACATCTTTGGGGGCCATTATTGTGCTGACCACGTGTAGTATGTGTCAGAGTCATGGAGGGGGTCCTAGACTCTCCAGAGATTCAGATTCAACAGGTGTTGGGTGGGCCCAGGAATATGCATTCTAACATGCTCCTCAGGTCTTTCTGATGCAGCCATCCCAGACCCACTTTGATAGACAGACCATGTGCCATGACCGATGGCTGACTTCTCTGTGAGCATCAGGCCAGTGTCACTAGGCTCAGAACCATTCCCTCTGTCCTCTCCTGCCTCACAGTCTTTGGTTATCACACTTTCTATCCTACATCAGTGATTCTGAGCAGAGAGCTGATGAAAATGAAACATTGGCCATGTTGTAAGCAAAGCTTCAAGATGGTGCTGTGAACTGGACTTAAACAGAGCAGCAAATGCCAAATGTTTCAGTTCCCCTGGACAGTTTTCTTCTTGTCAGAGGTCATGCAGCCCGCCAACCTCCTTGGCAAAGACCACACACCAAGATAGGCTGTCTATGCAGCCTTCTGGCCTTGAGGAAAGAGGCTGCCGCACAGGGTCCCCCATCGTGCCCCGTCAACTGCATCTTGTGTGCGTGGAGGTCAGGCAGCTTTCCAATCTCTCGGACACTTGTCCTGATTCTCCAGGGATGCCGCTGCCATCCTTCTCTGATGAAGAGCAGAGCCAGCTGTTGACAGATGAGAAAGCAGTGGTAAGGAAGAAGGAGCGCGGTGCTGGAGGAGGCGCTTTGGTTTCCTATGCTGTTTGACTTGATTCCAGGTCTGGAGGTGACCTAACTCTTCACCAGCCTGGATGCTTGCAGCAGACTCACTTTTTCTTTGTAATTCCACACGTGTTACCAAGGTCAACTTTTTTCATTTGTTCCATTCATTTTGGCTGCCCCCGGCCCCCCACACCCCACCACCCCCAGCATTTGGTAACCCCGATTAATCTGAGACTCAGTGTTTCTTCACCTGGGACATTTTTCTTCTCCAATGCCTTAGTTATTGTTCATGGGCCAGTTCTGCTCTGTTTATCAGGAGCTTCAGTTTTCCACAGTTTTGGTACCTCTTCCAGAATTTCTAGCTTTCTTTTGTTATTTCCCCCCACCCTTTTTTTTTTTTTGGTCATTTTGTCTTTTATATTTAGGGGAACTTTCTCATGGTTTTCTGTACATCATGGTTTCAATTTTTCACACTGCCAATTTATTGCCTTCTATGTCAATTTTCGTTCTGTTATTCCACTTAAACAAAAGTTTTGTCCCCTTTCCACTTCTGAAAACTGGATGTCCATTGTGACAATAGAAAATATTCAGGAACACTTTGGGGCATGCTTCCTCCAGTGTTATTTCAATACCTGCGTGTGTGTGTGTGTGTGTCTGTCTCCGTGTGTAAAAAAAAAAAATTGAGATAATACAATACATACCCACAGATTTTCTGTGTGGTGTTTTAGTTACTCTTTTATTGTGAGCATTTCCCATTATTTGAATATTCTTTGAAAATATTACTATTGCATGATTTTCTATGATGTGTCACAATTTATATAAATAATATATGAGATACTTATGTTTTTTCAGTTTTTCTCTCTTATAAATAACATTTCAGAGGACACTTAGGATGAGGTGCAGCAATCTAAGAGCATCAGCTTCCTGCTGGGCTTTCCTGGCCAAGTCCATAGTCCCCATTCATGTACCACCAAAAATCAAAACAAAAAAAAATAAAAAGAATGTTTCTGGGTCATTGGATGTTACACCTCAAACAATGTCACATTCAGTTCTTTCCAGCAGTGCAAGATGTTTCCTCTAATTTGACGCTTCTCAAAGATCTTACAAATACCCCATAGTGTAAGTTGTGTCTATTATAATAATAGTTACTTTTTATTGAATGCCTACTCTGAGCTAGGCTGTGTGTTGACTTATTTCTTGTTCTATATGTTATCATTTTTCAGTCTCCAAATATTGATGAGGATTGATTGCATTATTGATGATCTTTTCTGTAGATGAGGAAACGGAGGACCCAAAAGGTTGGATGTCACTCCCAACAGCATGAGCTAGTTAGAGGCAAAGCCAGCACAAATGCAAACGGGACATGTGAGTGTTACACCAGCTCACCTCTGACCCTTTGTGCGGATTAGTGTCTGGAGGTGTGCATGCTGCCATGAATTAAATCTTTCATTTATCTTTTCCTTAAAGACAAGCCCATTTTCCAGAGACAGTGGAAGCCCTAGCATTTGGTTGAGAATAATCCTGGCATCTCTTGGTCCAGGATTCAACACAGACTCCCTTGGAGCCCAATTTACTCAGTGTGCTGAATGAAAGCAGGCAACGTGTCTGTGTTTGAGGCAGGAAGCCCCCCTTCCCAGCTGACAAAGCTCATTGTCCATAATTAGCGAGGACTCAGAGGGCACCCGAGCTGGGTGACAGCCGTGGGGCCAAAGCTGGACGCTGAGCCCCTCAGAGCTGTAATCACAGCTGCCAGGTGTTGGCGCAGTGATGGGCATCTGAGTCAAATGGCAAATCAGCCTCTGAGCTGGACAAATGGGGCCACAAAAGTGGTCTCTTAATTGGGTTTGAAAACTCTCATGGAAGAAAAGCCAATTTCCTGCCATCTGTGGGGTGACACTTGAAAAACCCGGATGAAAGGATATTTCTGCTCACAGCATTAGCAGCCCAGCATGTCTCACCAGCACTTCCTTCTGCCTCTTAGCGGGCTTGCCATGGCAACCTTTGTCTGCTGTGAAACAGCAAAGGTATCATTATGCTCTCTTATCACAAGAACAGTCACCTCCTACTCCTCCCTCCCAAAGATCTGCTTCCAACAAAGGGCAGAGAAATCGACTTGTCTTCCGGCTCCAGTTGGCCAAACTGTGCTGTCTGCCTCAGAGCTGCTGAGTTCTGGATGCTCCACTGACAATTTGTTTCACTGGGCATTTTTTTTTTTTAAATCACTTTGTTGCCTGAAGGTGGGGAGTTTTCTCTTAGGACATGGACAGAGTCCAAAGGAAAACGCATAATGAATTGGCACGGTGATTCAAAGCCTTTCATTAGAATGTGGTTCAGAGAATGAATATTTTGAGGGTAATGTGAGTTCTAAGGCCTCAGACGCAGGTGGAGTTTAGAGAGGGGGGCCACAATCCCATGTGAGTGTTGAGGTGGGAACAAGGATTCCCATTCTGGGAGCTACCCCTTTCAATAAGTGTTTCACATTGCATTTCCATTGAGAATGAATGGCGTGATGGGTGGATCCATGACACAAGATGCGGGGGAACAGGAGAAAAGCAGCCACATTGGAGGGGAGGAGTGTGAAATCTAGTGCCTGCCCTCACACAGCTTGGATTTCACGGGATAGCTGAGTTAGTTTTGCCAGCCCAATTTCTTTAACCATATCCAAAGCCATTTGTTATAAAACCGTATCTAAAACAATTGCTATTGTAATAATTGTAAATGGTTTTGAAGAAGTATAAAACCCATTTTAGAGGCTGAATTAAGATTATATATATATATATTTGAGTCCATGCGTTAGAGCTACAGAACTATGAGTAAATGCATTTATCTTTAGATTTTTTGTCTTCCCAAAGGATATGAGTTGGCTAAATAGAATAAGTAAAGGCATTGAAACAGTAAAATAAAATAAGTCAGGATCAATGGAGCGAGGATGGAATGTTAGCGAAAGAGGTTGACCTCCTCAATTATTTTATTGTCTATTTTCCTGTAAAACTCTAAAATTTCTTTCCCATAGTCAACAAAAATCTACCTTTTATTTTTTCTCTCTAATGTTAATACTGTTCGGTTGATGGGTTTCTTCTAGGATTTACTTGACTTTGAGGTCATGAGCAGGGAGAAGGGGGTAAGGGAGCCCCAGGCAGCCTGAAGAGACACACGTGGGCTCACTCTTCACCCTGCCACTCACTAGCTGCTGATTTGGGGCAAATTAGTTAACTTCTCTGAGCATCAGTTTCCCAGCTGAAGATGAAAAGTTTAAAAACAGGATTATTTTGCAAATTAAATGGGATAACATGGTTGGTGCTAAAGTCATATTATCCTTCACCCACTCCCAACCTCAGAGGAGTGAAGTTTGCACTATTCTTTACTACTTTGCCAAAATAAGTTTTTGACGTTAGTTGTATTGGTGTCCCAGGGCTGTCATAACAAAATACCACAGATTAGGGGGCTTAAACAGAGACGTTTATTCTCTCATACCTCTGGAGGGTGGAAGTCCCAGATCAAGGTGGCAGCAGGGTTGATTTCTCCTGAGGCCTCTCACCTTAAGTACAGATGGCCATCTCCTCACTGTGTCCTTGGTGGCCTCTCCTCTGTGTACAGGCATGTCTGTGTCCTCATCTCTCCTTCCAAGGACACCAGCCAGACTGGATTAGGGCCAACTCTAAAGACCTCATTTTAGCTTAATGATCTCTTTAAAGATCTTATCTCCAAAAATGGTCACATTCTGAGGTAATAGGGGTTAGGACTTCAACATATGAAATTTGGGAGGACACAATTCACCTTATAACGTTAGTGATTGAGGGAAATCCTCCAAGGCAATTCCTGGGTCTTGAGGAAAAAGTAAGCCGTTTATAAACAAATATAAATTTTTTTGTTCAAGTTGCTATGCACACAGCTAGGCTTAGATGCTGGTACCCTGGGCTCTGTCTCCTCTTCTGATGGACACAGGAGCAGCACCTCGTAGGCCAGGCTGTGAGGATTGCATGGGAAAATGCCTGCAAAGCAGTTCTCACCATACCTAGTACCCAGTAAGTGCTCATAAATGATGGCTATTCTGTTATCTGAAATAGACAAAGCAATGTTGAAATAATAATCAGAGCTGAGGTGGCAGCCACAGGTTTCAGATGTTTCCCATGCACAGGAGAGCAAATTTTGCAATTTCAGATTCATCGTTAAAGAAATATATGCAGACCCAATAATACATCTCCCAACCAGTTTAGATATGGATTCCTTTGCTGTATTTGAAACTCATTTCAACTTTTTCTTTGATTTAGGGAAGTGCCAGTGAAGCCACTCTGGTGGCCCTGCTGGCCGCTCGGACCAAAGTGACGCGCCGCCTGCAGGCCGCCTCCCCGGGGCTGACACAAGCCGCTATCATGGAGAAGCTGGTGGCCTACTCCTCCGATCAGGTGAGTGTGTTGGCCCGAAGCCCCACCGAGCCTCCAAGATCAAAGTGTTTTGCTTTACGTCAAATCAAAACAGAATAAAACCGTGCAGCCTCATTTCAAATCCAGGAGGAGTTCCTCTGGTATCACCTAGACAGAGCCCTGTGCTAAAGAGAAGGTGTGGGCTGCAGGCGAGGACTTAGTAAATCAAGTTGAAAAGAAAATAACTGTGGTGCGAGATCACCGGGACTGGCTCTGTTGCCAGTGCCACCTGCTCTGGCTTACACTGAGGTCAGCTGGGCCACCTCCGGAGTAGCATGGCCGAGACACTGGACAAGGCTCTCAAAGACCTGGGCTCATAGCCAAGCTCTGCTATTTTGAGTTTTGTGATCTCAGGCAAATCACATAAACTCTCTGAGCTTTTTTTTTTTCCCCAACAAACAGGGACAAAAGCCCCTACCCCTTGGTGTTGCTGCTCTGCCAGCTAGTGACAGGACTAAGACAAGGGATATGCAGGTGCTTTGTAAGGTTTAGAGAATTCTGCAAATAGGAGCCTGTAGTGTGACTTCAATGGCCAGCCCATTCAAAAAGATTAAAAAACAAACAGAATTGTGTGAGAAGGAACAGAAGGGAAGAGAACTGAGCAGATGCAGAAAGTAACCCCATGAGGGAAATTCTAGTCAAGAGGGCACAAAAGTTTACCGTGCACCACCCTCAAGATTTTGGATTCCACAGGGAATAGCTGATCCAGCTTTGCTGATATATGTATCTTTAATGAATTTCTTAAGCCAGGCATTTCAACTGTGGCAGCTTTGTTCTAGTTAATAACGATAGGTAGCCTGAAACAAATACAGTACCCGTATTTCAATGCTTACTCAGGAGGATTATATCTCTCTGTGTGTTTTCTAACTCCACGTGTTAGCACTACCTATACATGAAGAAAATTATTCATTTATATTTATACTGCCCTGTTTCCCAGAAGGACATGAGGAGACAAAAAAATGCACCTGTCGTACTCAGTAAATATGTGTTGAGATAAGTTGCTATGAATGTTAGAGTGTATCCTTTCCAGATGTGGTTTCTGGGAGGGAATTTAGCCCTAGAAAAAGTAATTTGTGATGTTTTCTCGATTCTCCCAAGGAGGGTGCATGGCTAGGACTGTTCCAGGTGCACAGGAGTTAGGTGAATTCATGACATCCAGTGGATGGCCTTGGGCTCCAGGGTGTAATTCCTCTGTGGCCCTCCAGTCAGTTTCCTCAGGGGCAAGGCCAGATGCAGCGCTTTAGGTGCACACTGTTCACTGAGGGGGGCCCTCTGGGGAAACCTGTAGGAGTTAGGGAAGCAAGATGAGGCAGGGAAGGAACAAATAAGGATGTGGTCTCTGAGAACTGAGAACGTCTTGCTGTAGCCTGGCCCATGGGGGCTCCACTGGTGCATGAACCACCACAGAGCACAGAGCTGCCCCTCCTCAAGGCAATGAGACAGGCTTTTGTACATATGCATAGTCAGTCCTGCAGGGGTGGGTGCAGAAGGCAGCTCTGCAGAGAAGGGGCCAGCTGGAAGCCATGATCAGCCAACATCTGTCAGAACTGGGAGTGGACACCTAGGCCACACCAAGGGGACCTGGGCAGGACACAAAAAGCTTCTACTCCAGGAAGCAGATGCTTTCTCCATGAGAGAACCGTCTCTCCTGGACAATTCAAAACACCAGTGGCTTTAGTGACAACCCCTGTTGTCACTGCTCCCCAGGCCCCTGTCCACTGCCACACCAGCCTTCCTGAGACTTCTTACCTCCAATTGCCTAATCCTGTATTGAAACTACATTTCAGGCCAGCATTAACCCCAGGACGCATAGGGTCAAGGTGTTGGCTATACATTTATAACCTGATCATCTCAGTCATCATCTGAAGTTAAAGACAACGCACAAAGTTCATGAAAAGAATAGCTTCCTAGAGCTGTCAAGAGCTTCATAGGTGATTCTAGAGCCTCACAGGAGAAGAAGAAGAATAGTAGCTTATTTAGTTCCCTCTACGCCAGGCACTGTACTAGGATTCCACATCGTTATTTATCATTTTCACAACTAAGCTTTGAAGTGGGCATTGCTTGTTGTCTCATTGTGCACAGGAGGCATGGAGGTTCCCTCTGGTAGCCTGCTAGGGTCACAGGGAAAGGGCTGCAGTCCACCCAGGCCCACATGGTTCCAAAGCCTGTGCTTCTCACTGGGCCCGCCTCCCTCCCAGAGGTTGCTGTTTGGGAGCTGCACCGCAGCAGCAGCAGTGAGGCCCCAGGACAAGACCAATCATGAGACAGTGATGGTGGTGCTGCAGGGCAGAGGGCGGCGACTTCAATAAGACTTGGCTTTCCCGGGAGTCCCTCAGAGAGGAGGGGTCTGCCATCCAACAAACATGCCATGTCTTGGCTTCCTTTCTCCAGACACTATTTACTGAGCATCTGATTGCTAAGCTTAGCCACCACACTGCCCAAGGCCCCGCAGTGAGAGGCAGGGCCCAGATATGAAGGCAGGTATTCTAACTCCACTTCTGGGGTATGCCTTCCAAGACCTCACTGCTTGCTCTCAAGTCAAACTAATGAATGAGAAACATCACCAACATTGACCCAGCACTTTATCTTCTAAGTGTCTGATTCATTAAACTGGAAAGCAAGATTCCACACGACCTGAAACAACTCCAGAAGAGAAGGTATGGGGAGAGGGAGGAAAGGAGAGCCGTTCTCTCTCCATTGTGGAATGAAAGGAGCTGCCAGCTTGAAGTGGTGGGAGCTCACTGCAGAGCCAGGGGCTTATAGCTACTGCATGGAGCACGCCTGCACGAGACAAACTCTGCTGCTTTCTTTCTAGGCACACTCCTCGGTGGAAAGAGCAGGACTAATTGGTGGAGTGAAATTGAAAGCCATCCCTTCAGATGGCAAGTTTGCCATGCGTGCTTCTGCCCTGCAGGAGGCCCTGGAGAGAGACAAGGCAGCTGGCCTGATTCCTTTCTTTGTAAGTTCAACAGCACTTGCTGCAAATGGAGCCGTGGGCCTGGGGTGGGGCGGGGGTGCCAGGGCCACTTCCCAGGCTGCCTTGGTGGTCACAGGCCAGGCGGTAATTACACTGTCAGCCTGCCTCTCCTTGAGGAAGGCTGCAGGAAGACTCCATTTATTTTCCCTCCTGCTCGTGTTAATCTCAGAAAGAAGGAGGCAGAGAACCCCATCCTAGAGGGTTCTGCTTCCCGTTAGAAGTGGCACCTTATGATGGCCCATTGACAGCACTTTGTGCCATGAGGAGTATATGACTGATGAGTGAACTGAATGAAAAATAAAATGGAAGGCGTCGCTGCCCAGACCAGTGTTCTCAGTAGCTGCTAAGACTCATCATTAGCAGTGACTAATTAGAGCTAAAATATCTAACTAGCCAAATAGCGCCTGATTTTCTTGTGCACAGATAGGCATTTTCCAGTGGGGAAGAAATAACTGGCATTGCAGCTAGGACTGGGACTGGTCATATCTGGGGTGGCCACGGCAGTGTGTGGTGTCTGCGACTGACACGTCATGTGTGACGGCCGTTAAAATGTGTGATCATAGCACTAGCCCTGGGGGTTCACCGGGCTGCACTTTGTAGTCACTTGAGGAGCTGTGAAAAAAATACTGAAGCCCAGGCCTTGATCCAGTTTAATTTTACCAGAATTTCTAGGGATGGAGCCAGGCTGGAAATGTTTCACAGCAACTTCAAGATCCTCGTATGCGTCCAGGGTTGAGAAACACTGCCCAGATGGACACCTTTCAGCATCTGGGCGTTTCCTAGCTGTTAGAGCATTCTAGGTTTGAGAGACTTTATGAGCCACATGTTAATAACAGCCACTATATTTACTTATGATTAATCTTTGAGGCAAAGTTTTTTTCCTCCAAAAAATTGTTTTGGTCAATTCAGATTACTGATCATTTATTGACTATCTAACATGTGACTGAGGAAGGCATGGAGGGTACAATTTTATACAAAATTTGGTCCAGATTCAAGGCGTTCCCATAGGAATCAGGAGTATAAGCAAATAACTGTCACATAGAAGGAGCGAGAATTTTCAGAGGCTGCACGTAGAACGGATGCTGGCCAAGTCATTTTGGCGGGTGCGGCAGGCATCAGCCAGTGGAGCCAGGCTGAGCTGTCACCTTACCCCGACGTCTGTCTCAGTCACCCCTCACTGCTTATTTTTCTCGGTTGCATGTATTACACCTGACACACATATTTATTTTTATGTTTGTTTGCTATCTCCCTCTTCCCACCAGAATGTGAGCTACAGGAAGGAAGGGTCCATTTAGTCACAGCTTTATTCTCAGCTTCTGGAAGCTGTGCCTGACACTTAGCGGAAGCTCAATAAATATTTGTCAAATAAATAAAGATTTAGAAGGAAGATCATTCCAGGCAGAAAGAAAGATTACCCTTGTAATTTCCACATACAATTTCACCACAATTTGGAATGATTCTATTTAATTGAAGTAAAATCTTTTGAACCTATATTGCCAATTTTAAGACTCACAAGAATATCCTGTCTAGGGAAAAATAAATATATTGAGACACACTCTTTTAGGTTGAAGAATGAAGGCAATGGAGGAGACATCACATCAAATGATGAGAATATTTTATTTTATAAAAATTACAAAACTCATAAACAAGGTTAAAAGACAGATGCTGGCAATGAAATACGAGCTATATTATAAACTAAATCTTAAAAAGAAGGCTTAAGGATTAATAAGCAAAAAGACAACATTCCAGTAGGAAAATACACAAAATATATAAAGAGTTGGTTCCAAATTCAATCACAAAAAAAAATAAGAACATAAAACAAATTCCATTCCTCTAATAACGAAAGAAATACAAATGAGTCCCTGAGAGAGGTATGTTAGAGCCTCATACTATGTTGTAGATGTGTCTATTTCTTCTTTTGTATCTGTTGAGTTTTATTTAACATATGTTGAAGCTCAGTGACTTGGTACATCCGGATTTGGATTTGCCGTTTCTTCCTGGTGAATGACCCATTGGCTGTTACGAAATGCCTTCACCTCTAACCAGGCTTCTGCTTTGACTGACTCTGCTGTAATTACACCAGTGTTCAATTTGTTAGCATTTGCATGATATATTTTTTCCACTCTTTTACTTTCAACCTTACTGTTCTCTCATATTTAAGGCGTGTCTCTTGTAAGCAGCGTATGGTTGTTGCTGGTTTTTTAAAAATTATTTGTGTATAAATTCAGCATGACAGTTTTCTCTGTTTTGTCCATTTACACTGAAGGTAATTTCTGATCCATTTAAATGCGTATCTACCATCTTACTATTTGTTTTCTCTCTGGCCCACTTCTTAGATGATTGCTTTTCTCTGCTTTCTTGCCTTTTCTTAGATTAATCAAATGTTTATATTATTCCATTTTCTTCGTTTTTAGCATATAGTTTTGTATTCTTTTATTTTTATGCCTCCCTCTCACCTTTTGTGTTATTATTGTCGTACATTTTAATTTACATATATTTAAAACTCCATGAGACTCTATTGTTATTTTATTCAGCAAATATTTGTTTAGATGAACCTAGCTATTTCTCTTTCCATTGACCTTCATTCCTTTCTGCATTTTCTTATTTTCATCTGAGATCATTTTCTTCCACCTGAAAAACTCCCTTTAGAATTTCTTTTACATTCTGATTTAATTATCTCAGTTCTTGTATTTCTGAAAATGTCTTTGCTTTGCCTTCACTTTTGAAAGACAGTTTTGCCTGGTGTGGAATTCTAGGGCGGAAGCTATTTTCTTTGGGCACTTTAAATATATAAGTCCATTCACTTCTTTCTTCCATGATTTCTGTCACCGTGTCAGTTGTCAGTCTTAGTGTTGCTTTGATGAAGATAATGTGGCAATGTGACCTTTTCCCCTGGCTGCGTGTAGCATTTGCTTTTAGGCAGTTTTACTATGATGCAATAGAATTGCTTTCTTTGTGCTTGGGTTTTGCAGAACTTCTTGAATCTGTGATTTGTTATCTCTCATTGGTTTTGGAAAATTCTCATCCATTATCTTTTTGAAGTTTCCTTCTGCCCGTTTTCTCTCTCCTCTCATTCTGAGACTCTGATTACACATGTTAAGTCTTTCCACTGAGGGAAAAATCTCTCTTATGCTCTTTTACATATTTTCCACCCATTTTTTTTAAATCTCCATGCTCAGTCTGACCTATTTACAATTTACCAATTCTCCCTTTAGCCACGTCCAACTGATAAATGAATATATCATGCTATTAATTTTAAACCTTGAAAAGTTTCAACTTTTTATTTTGAAATAATTGTTAATTTAAGGAAATTACACAACTAGTGCAAAGACGTCCTTGTGCCCTTCACCCAGTTTCCCCCAGTTGTTGCATCTTCCATAGGTATAGTCTAATAACAGATCCAGAGAACTGATTCTGGTACAATGTGTTTGGATGGTCTTATGTCACTGATTACATGTGTGGATTCATGTAACCACCACTGTAGTCGGGGCATAGAACTGCTCCATCACCCAGAGACCTCCCTCATGCTACCCCTCCGTGGTCACTCCCACCCTTCTCCTCTCTCACCATTCCTAACCCCTGGCAACCACTAAATTGTATTCTCTACACTTTTGTCATTTTGAGAACATTATATAAATTGAATCATACAGCAAATGGCCTTTAGAGATAGGCTTTTTTCACTCAGCATAATGCCCTTGAGATCCTTCCAAGTTGCCATGTATGTCAATAGTTGGTTCGTCTTTTTTTTTTTTTGCTGTCCCACAGAGATTTGGTTCCACATTATCTGTACCATAGTTTGTTTAACCATTTACCTATTGAAGGATGTTGTAGTTGTTTCCAGCTTCTGGCTTATTACAAATAAATCTTCCAAGAACATCCATGTACAGATATTTGAGTGGACATGTTTTCATTTCTTTGAGATAAAGCCCTATAGTGCACTTGAGGCTCATAGGGTAGTTGTATGTTTACTTTTTAAAGAAACTACCAAACTGTTTTCCAGAGTGGCTGTACCATTTACATTTCCACTAGCAATGAGTGAGAAACTCAAGTTCTTTGCATCCTCACTAGCATTTGGTTTTGTCACTATTTTTTAATTTTAGATGTTTTGTTAGGTCTGTAGTGATATCTCCTCATCGTCTTAATTTTCAATTTCCCTGATGACTAATGATATTGAACATCTTTCCATGTGCTTTTTTGCCAACCATATATGCTCTTCAGTGAAATGAATCTTCATGATTTTTGCTCATTTTCTAAATGGATGGATGCATTATTTTTAAATTAATAGGCTTTACTTTTTAGAGCGGTTTTAGGTTTACAGAAAGATGAGCAGAAAGTACCGAGTTCCTGTATACTTCCTCCTTTGTAGCCTTCAGTTTCCCCTATTGTTAGCATCTTACATTGGTGTGGTACATTTGTTATAATTGGTGCACCAATATTGATACAGTGTTATTACCTAAAGCCCACAGTTTATATTAGGGTGCACTTTTTGTGGCGTACTTACTATGAGTTTTGACAAATGTCGAATAACATGTATACACCATTTCAGTATCATACAGAATAGTTTCACTGCTGTAGAAGTCCCCTGTACTCCAACTATTGCTCCCTCCATCCCTCCAGCCTAGCCCCTGGAAATCACTGATCTTTTTACTGTCTTCATAGTTTTTTTCCAGAATGTTTTATAGTTAGAATCATATGGTATGTAGGCTATTTGTATTGGCTTCTTTCATTTAGCAATATGCATTTAGGATTCGTCCATATCTTTTAGAGCCTTTATAGCTCCTTTTGTATCACTGAATAGTATTCCATCGTCTGGATGTACCACAATTTATTCAAAGACCACCTATTGAAGGACATCTTGATTGCTTCCAAATTTTGACACTATTAAAAAAATGCTTTAAACATTTATGTGCAGGTTTTTGTGTGCACATAAATTTTCAACTCATTTGGGTAAGTACCAAGGAATGCAATTGATGGATCATGTG